TTATTTAAATTTGTTAGAAAACGTTATTGATCCGCTCTCACTGACACATTGGAACCTGATGATAATCTTGTAAACGATAAATTGACTTCCTAACATTACAAGGCATCCCCACATTATGATATACGCGTAAGACAATTTTTGAATCAACAACGTTTTCAAGGGCTTTGGATTGGCAGAAGGGGTCCAATAGAGTAGTCGGCCAGATAACCGGATCTTTTGTCTTTCACCTAATATCAAAAATATATGCCACTCCGTCTGTAGATCTTCCGAGTTCCGACAAAGGATTATGACAGAATGCCGATTATTCAGACCGGAGCTATTTGCAAATGTACGAAGGGGCTTTGAAAATATACTGTATTATTGTTATGGAGGTCACAAGAGGTCATTTCGAACATTAAATTGATTAATTTGATGAAATTTTATGTTTTTTGTTATTACTTATGTTAAACCAATAAATTAGCAAACATTATCTTTAGTTATTTCGTAAATTATTTAATTTTGACAAACTCTTGGTTTCTGAGTTTCTGTGAAGGCCAAATTTTCGTTGAAACACACTGTATATTATTATTAAATTTATGATAGGTACTTACTAATTCTTAAGCTAAGATGTTTTATACTAATTTTCGTAAAAAAGGTTAAAAAAGTAAAAAATTTATATGCTTATGTTTATGCTTTTTTATATAATAAATAAATAATAAAATATTTTCATAAAATCGTTAAGCTTTTTGTGCGTTTCTTTACGCTTTTAAATCCGATCCGAACTCTAACACCCCTTTCAGACGAGGATACTGTATCTGAGATACTGTATGCGAGATACAGAATTTGTGTCTGAAAGCGTTCATTTAACGTAATGTTTCTTCTGTATCTGGCATACGCATTCGGTATCTCTCATACTGTATTACTCGCGCGTCCCGTGTGAAAAGCTCCATTTGAGTCTATGTAATATCTGCGTCTCGGATACGCGTATCTCGGATACAGTATCCTCGTTTGAAAGGGGGGTAATTATCACAATGTTGTGCCTTCGTCTTTGATAATGTCACGTACTGCGGACGCACTGTTGCCAAAAATTCGTAGAACTTTTGAAAGACGGTGCGGCCACCATTTCTCGAATTAATATTGATGACGCGCTGATGTAGCCTCTTAAAGAAGAAGAAGATACAAATATGTAAACAAAGTAATGGCCCGTACTTAGTATAAGAATATAGAATAAATTCATAGTATTCATAAATATCTTGATAAGTAACGTTTCTAAATAACGCTTCTTTCTATAATCAGTTTCTCGATTAATTTTTCAGTCATTATTAAATATTTTGAAAAGTTTGCAAAATAGCAATTACAACAAATAGAAATAATGAATACACCGAACATAAAGATACTAATAAACAATTTCTAAGCTTTTTATAATATTTTTGAGTTCATTAATCATATTTTTTATTTAAAATATAAATTTGTTATTAATGCTTAGTCACGCATATAATTGAATTTTTAATTTTTAGATTTCATCTCAAATCAACCAAAAGGCGAAAGTTTTATGATTAGAGATACTTCCGACTACAGCTTAGTGGTTTCTAATAATAAATGTTTGTTGTCGATGAACAATTGATTTATATATGGGGTTCAAAGAAGTAGTGATGCGCATTATAAGAAGCTGTTTCCAGTTAGCATCTCTAACCTCTCCTACTCAATTCCTATCCTCACCTCCACGAAGTGTGGTCTTGGCCACACGGGTGGACCCCGGAAACCTGAGCAACCTTGTTGGAGATTGGGTAACCAACCCCAATGGAATGCAGGGTCAGGGCGAACGAGGAAGGGAGAACATGATCCTCCGAAAAGGAGGTTTCGCTACGGACCAGCGATCCATACAAGCAAAAAAAAAATATTGCTAGGAAACGAATATTATTGCCTCGGAATTGGGCAGATTATAAAAACAAACGACGAAAGCTACGGACGAAGGATATTCTATTAGGAACATGGAATGTACTAAGTTCGTACAGACCTGGAATTCCCACAACAGCGATAAAACAACTAGAAAACTTAACTATGATGTAGTAGCCATTCAGGAGATGAGATGGACAGGGTCTGGAACAATACACATGGAGAAGTCATTAGTACTGTGGTCTGGATATGAAACTCGACATGAAAGAGGATGTGTAATATTGGATTTGGTATGGATGGATTTGTAATACATGAAAGACTACAATCAGGGTTATTAGACTTTAAACCAATAAACGAACGAATCTGCATTATAAGATTAAGAGGTAAATGGTCCAATTGAACTATATTTTCAGTGTATGCACCAACCGAAGACGCATTAGAGGATGATAAAAATGAATTCTACGACTCTAAATCAACTCTACTCGTAACCACGATATTAAAATAATACTAGGTGATCTAAACGCAAAGGTAGCCACAGAAGACTACGTAATACCGGTGGCAGGAAGATAATATAGTCTACATGAAGTTACAAACGATAATGGATCACGTTTGGTCGATTTTGCGACAGGCTGCAACTTAGCCATCAAAAGCACCCAGTTCGCTAGAAAAAAGATCCACAGGGCAAAATGGAGATCAAACGATGGAAGAACAAATAATTAAATAGATCACGTATTGATTGATGAGAGACATTCTAGCAGCATAATAAGTATAAGAACTATGAGAGGGCTGAACAGCGACACAGACCATTTTCTCGTAAAGGCCAAGCTCAGAACAAGACTTTCAACACAAACAATAGATAAACACAGAGATCGAACGATGGAATGTGGCGAAGCTGAAAGAAGAAAATAATCAAAGACAGTACCAAGTAGAATTAAGAAATAGGTTTCAGGTTTTGGAAATAAATGAAAATGAAAGTGAAGATATAGATCAGCGATGAAACTCCATAAAAACAACTATTACAGAAGAAGCAGAGAAATCTATCGGAAGAACGAAAAAAACAAAAAAAGAAAAAATGGTTCGACGCTCTAAAAGAAGCAAACAAAAGAAGATGTATACAATTCCACAGAGAGAGAGCCGCAGCTAGAAGAACACTTAGACAAAAAAAGAGACAATATCTGCAGTAACAAACTGAAAAAGTAGAAGGCCAATACAGACGAAATCAAAGTAAAAAATTCTACAGAGAGGTAAGACAACATAAAAGAGGCTCGTATATAAGCACACCCAACTTCGTAAGAGATAAAAATGGAGAAATGCTGGCTGCCGAAAACAAAATAATAGAAAGATGGGATGAATATTTTGAAAAGCTCCTGAATATTCAAAATTTCACTGATAAAAACAATGAAAATGGTGGAAACAATGGATAACATGAGTATCAAAACGGTCGAATTAGAAATACCCCCACCAAGCTTTAAAACGAAAAATTCCCTGGTCTGGAAAATATTGATGCCGAGCTAATTAAAACAGATGGTCATGAACTCATAAGTAAAATCCATCAATTAATAGAAATGGCCTGGTAACAAGAAATAATGCCGAAAGAATGGTGTGGTAGTATTATTGTACCAATACACAAAAAAGGAATCATGCATGAATTACAAAGAATCTCACTAATCAACACTACATATAAAATATTGGCTTTGATATTATTAAAAAGATTAGTACCATACGCCGAAGGAATAGTTGGTGACTACCAGTGTGGTTTCAGGCCTGGCAGATCGACTATTGATCAAATATTTACAGTAAGACAAATGCTTGAAAAGTATTGGGAATATAATCACGACGTGCATCAGATTTTTAAGACTTCAAACAGGCTTATGATTCAATTAATCGTGCAACATTATGGAAGGCAATGATCGAGCTCGGCGTACCCAAGAAACTAGCTGCGGTAACACAAATGTGTGTAAGTAACTCTTTTGCACAAATTAGAATAGGGGGAAAAATATCAAATGCTTTCTGCGTAAATTCTGGACTGGTCCTGGCCTTAGAATATGTCATGCGAAAAATATATCCAAAAATTAAACCAGACATAACTGCTCGGGGAGCAAAAATCATACTCGCTTTTGCCGATGACGTAGACGCAGTAGCACAATCAACATTAGAAATTAAGGATATTTTCTCGAGCTTTAAAGAAGCTGCATTAAACATCGGTCTAAAAATAAATGAAGACAAAACAAAATACATGGTCGTCTCAAAACAAGAACGACGGCGAATAAGGCAAAACATTACTATAAATGATCACAACTTCGAAGTGGTTAAAGAATTTAAATATCAAGAAGCAACAATCACAAATGACAACAAATTAGAACGAGAAGTTGAAACGAGAATAATAGCAGGAAACAGACCTTTCTTTGCAATGCAACATCTAGAACATCTAATGAAGTCAAAACTTCTTTCACGAGGTACAAAAATCTGGTTATATAATACCATAATACGACCAGCAGTCGCGTATGGAAGTGAAACTTGGACGCTAACAAAAAGAGAAGTAAATACATCGCTGGTGTGGGAACGTAAAATTCTTCAAATGATATATGGCCCTTGCAGAGACAGCGTGACAAACGAATGGAGGGGCAGATACAATAACGAGCTAGAGTCTCTATTCGAAACAGAAAATCTAGTCAGAAATATAAAGGTCAATAGACTCAGATGAGCAGGGCATGTGATACGCAGTAACGACAATTGCCTTATAAACAATGTGTTCTGGGAAAGGCCAGATGGAAGACGGTCTGTAGGGCGGCCTAGAAAAAGGTGGACAGATGCAGTCAAAGAAGATCTAAAGAAAATGGGAGTGCGACAATGGGAATTACTGGCACAGGACCGACAAACATGGAAGACAATAGTAAACGCGGCAAAGACTCACGAAGAGTTGTAGCGCCATTGATGATGATGATGATGAATTGATTTATATAAGTACAGTGATAAAAAACCAAAGAATAATTAATTGATAATAATATTTACTGAATTCCTTTTTTTAAGTACTCACTAGGATGTATATATTAAACTACTCTAGAATTTGTATAAAGCGATTCCTAAACTACATTATCCTTCTTTTCTAAGCTGTTATTACTTACCAATCCGTTACTGTTTAGATTTGGATACATCAATAAAAATGTTGCTTCCCCTAAACATCCGAGACTTGCATAGGGCGTCCTGAAGGTAGCTGTATCGCTTGCTATAACTGTGTCAAACAGAGACAACATCGTGACTCCCAATCCTGTACATTCTCCTTGAATACCGGCCACCAGAACTTTGGGGAAGTTCAAGAGACATAGTAAAAATTGCCTGTAATACAAAAATAAATGCTAACATTGAAAAAATTGTTGTTATTAGGATTATATTGTCTATTATTCGTAATGTGAGTATTAATTCATTCATAATCCGTTTTATTCGACACGGTTTTTATGCAGGGTATTGTACCTTGTAATACTGCGAAGAGCATTAGTTTTTTGATAAGGCAAGAAATTCCTCTATTGTCATGGCCCGGTAATTCACCAGACATATACCCATCGAAAACATTTAAAAGGAATAACAGCAAGATGTTTAAATAGCATGCTTAGAAGAGTGGCTGTACTTTTTAAAATACTATAGGATGTACTGCAGTAAAATTATGTGATAATTTAAATCTTTTGTTCAATAAATATACAAAAAATTAATACTATCATGTATGTAATCGTCTTATATATAGCTAACATATTATTTATAATTATAATTGATTATAAAATAAAGAAAACCAAAATTTGCCAGAAGTGAGTCTAATAATATGAACAGGGGCAGGAGTTATTACTTTAGCACAAGTAATAGTACGCCTTCAATGATTCTGAGTAATTATGACAGACCATGGTTCATTATGTCCACTGTATCTTGCAGTTTAATATATGTTATCTTTGGGGTTGAAGTTACTCACCTAACATTTTGAGCCAGCAATGTCGCCCTTTCGACCCTATCGTTTTTGTTTTCCTTAACAAGGGAAGCGTAATCAAGTCCTAGACAAAACGCTTTACTGGTAGATGTGATGGACACAACATTGCAGTCTTTATCTTTTTCAAGTCTCTTCAAAGCTGTGGTAAGCTCGTCTAGAACCTGAAATGAACAATATTGGTTATGTCTCTACAATTCTCCCTACTAGATTACATACACGTTTATTGTTTATTCTTGAATATATGTTGTAAGGTGATGTAAACAAAGAGGGGAAAGTATTGTGCCATAATAAATAATATGAAAAATATGAAAAAAGTTTTGCTCCGATTTATATGAAAAAATAGTCCAAAAGGAAATTGTAATAATACATTAATTAGATTATTGTCAGGCAGCTTAGCTGCACTGAAGGCTCTGTAATCAGCACAGATTGGAACTGCAAACAGTATCTTAAGCAACTGGCAGGGCACAATAAAGTAACTTTGCTGTGGGTGACAAGGCATACTGTCTGAACCTCTCTCATACTTTACATATTCTTGAAATTTGCAAATTTATTTTAATCAGGAATTTAGCACAATTAACATAGAAACACTTTATAATACATTCAAATCACCTACCTGATTGGTAAACAGACACTCATCATCGATATAATGCAAATCTATGGAAATATGCTTCCCAGACTTCTTCATAGTGAATGATTTGTACTGTACTCCTTTGACAGCTTTGGGGATTATCTCTTTCGAAGACTTGACATTCTTAGTGTCTTTATTCGGTGTGGAGTTGTTGTTATCGTTACTGGCGGTTTTCTTTTGCTTCTTCGATTTGGAAGATTCTGACTTTTTGTTCGATTTAGTCTAAAAATACATTGCGTGGGTACAAAGTTAGAATCACTTGAACGAAGTAATTTATTTAATAAGATATAGAATTTCTTAGAACCTCTGGTTTATATTATTCCCAAAATAAACGTTTATATATGACTAATTAGTAAAGGCATCTGAAATAGATACCAAATGAGTTTTATGGTTAAAATTAATTTAAAATGGTTTAATATGGATAAAATTTATTATTTTTTTGACTTTTTGTAAGCTTTGTCTATAAAATTGTACAATTTTCAGTGACAATAAAGCATATTTCTATTCTATTCTATGACTTTAAAACACCGGTGGCATTTTTTATTAAAGGATTTAAAAAATAGTCTTTAATCTCAAAAAAATATATTGCGGACTTACCTTAGATTGCTGAGAGTCATTTTCAGAGTCGCTTGACATAGAACTGCTCGACCTTCTCCGAATCAACATCGAAGTTTGTGAAGCAAAAAATGTGGGCGATCTGGGTGGCGTGTGGACAGAACTTCTCGTCGAATCTTTTGACATCTTACGCTCCGTAATGGGTATAGGTTCTTGAATGGGTGGCGGTTTAACAACGGGCGAGGACGTATTTGACCCTGATGCTTCCTTCTTTCTCAACGTTTTCTGGGAATCGCCACCGGTGTTTTGGACGAGATCATTTTTAAGAACATTCGCTTTTTTTATGATGTCTTTCGTGGCGCGTTCCACAGAATAGATGGTTTTCTTTTTTTTCGTTGGTGTTTCGTCGCTTTTTAGATCGTAGAGCATCTTCACTGCTCCTTCGTCCATAAGCAGTCTGTCCACTTCGCTTAAACCTATACAGAAAATACGAAATAGTTGTTAGTGATGTCATTTGAAATTTTTTATAGAAAAATAGGAAATACAATCAACACTAAAAATAAAATTAAACGTTGCCGTTTGGGTACAAATATATCCAATTAAGTGCAGTCTTTTCCTAATTCATTTCATTGCCATTCAATGCGCATTCATTGCAAAACAACAAATTAGAACTGTACAAATACAAATTAAAAACTAACAAAACAGTGCAACAGACCTGTGCAACTTTCTTGACCAGATCGTTACAGACAAAAAGATCTTCATAAGTACACACATATTTCATATCTGATATCTGATCTGAATAGATGATCAGAAGTATGTATATCTCCTTTACTATCTTTTAATTAATAAAGTAATTGATGAAGGAAAGATTCCTCAAGAATGGTACAACTCCGAAGTCATTTTACTATTCAAGAAAGGAAACAAAGCAAACATAGAGAATTACCGACCAATATCCTTGCTATCACATTTGTATAAATTACTAACTAAAATCATAACCAACCGCCTAACACATAAGCTCGATTTCTATCAACCTATCGAGCACGCTGGATTCAGAAAACATTTTAGTACCATAGACCACATTTCAATTTACAAAGTGAAAAAGAAATAAAAGAAAAAAGATCAACACCAAAGATTTCAAATATTTTTACTAAATAATGAACCTACCTCTCTTGGATTTCAGCGGTGTCTTTGGTTTGACAATACTTTTCTTGACGATATTCTTCTCGGTAGTATTCTTCTCAGTCGATTTGGGGGTAGTTTTCTGATCCGATTTAGTTTTGTCAACAGTGGGAGTTCCTGTTTGCTTTTTGTCACTCTTCTCGGCCTTGGCGCCATAAACTTTGGAGGTGTCAACTATTTTAACTGACGGTTTGGAAGTCTGCTCATCATCCGGATCCCAAATGACCTTCTTTTTGATGACTCTAGAACTTTTAGTCACATAAACATCTGAAGGGAGTGCGAGAGGATCACCTTTTTCGTAAATTTGGTTTGCGTCTGGGTCTTCAAAAGCAGATCGCTTTGGGGATGGCGTTTCGAATTCGTGAATATCAGAGGGCTTCCTCTTCCTAGAATAAGTCTTCAGTACCATGTTGACTTTAACCTGAGGTTCGATCTCCACAAGATTCTTTTCTGTCGGATCAGGTTCAATATCCACAAGTTTCTTTTCTTTTGTCACGTTTAAGTCAATTGCAGGCGACAACTTTTTGATAGACTGTGTTTTAGATTTTGATTGTTGCTCCTCTTTATGTTGATTTTCTGCCTGTTTTGGTTGTTGCGCAGATTTCGAGGTTGGTTTTGATGGGCTAGATGGTTTAGGTTTGGCTTGTTCCTCTTTATATTCCTTCTTTATCAATGCAGGTGCAGATCTTGAGAATCTTGGCCTAACTACCTTTTCTGTAGGCTCCTGATGGGGCAGCTCCTGTAGTTGTTGAAGAGCTATTTCCCGTTCCAAAAGTTTTAAGTTGCTGTCATCAACCTGGAATAAAAAAAATCGATTAATTGGAGATATATGATTTACAAAAATTAAACAAATTGTTTGACCAAAAGTCACTAAATATGTGAGAAGCTACGACCGACTGTGATTACTGTGCTTCATGGTGGCTCAACAGTCCCCATGTTCAATCAAACAAAACAATCGTACAGTAAAAACTACCAAACTTCTTCAACACACAAAATGTCTGAACCTTTTAAAACAAATAACGGGCTGCGCCAGGAAAACCCTCTCTTCTGTATACTGTTCAATCTGGCTTTGTCTGTATGTCACAAATCACATCCATCGGTTCAATATATAATAAATCAGTGCGAATCTTTGCCTATGCTGATGATATCAATATTGTTGGGAGAAAACATTGTACGAGAGGCGTATGTACCATTAAAAAAATCAGCTACAAAAATGGGTTTAATAATAAACACCAACAAAACGAAGTATATGAAAATAAGCACGCACCTACAAACTCTACGACCACTTGTTATAGAAAACAACGCCACTAAAGCAGTGAACGAATTTGTATACCTAGGAGAGCTCCTTAACACTGAAAATAATACTACCGTAGAGATAAACATCAGAATTTGCACGGCCAACAGATGCTACTTTGGACTCAATCTCCACCACAATTATATCGAGAAATGCAAAGATAAAACCCTACAAAACAATAATACGCCCAGTCCTAACATATGGTTCAGAGACCTGGACTCGAAGAAAAAGTAATAAAAACAAGTTAGAATGTTTCGAATGAAAAGTACTAACGCGAATCTATGGAGCAGTGAATGACAATGGAGTGTGGAGAAGACAATACAACTTCGAACTTTATAGAATATACCAGGAACCTGATATCGTAAAACATATTAAGATAGGACGTCTGAGGTGGCTAGGGCATGTATTGCGGGAACAAAATGACCCGGCTAGAAAACGCTCCTTGATAGAGCCATTGGTCAGAGAAGAAGAGGAAGACCCAGAACAAGGTTCCTTGATAACATCGATGAAGACATGAAAAACAAAGGAATACATGCTTTGCAGAGGAAGGCGATGGATAGGACGACTGGAGAGAAATTCTTGAGGAGGCTAGGATACACGGAGGGTTTTGCCAAATGATGATGATTACGTGAAAGACAATATTTCTCATATTTTTTTTCGTTACGATACTTAATACTGATATATAATGTTTATTTCATTATTGTAGAAAAGTAATATTGGTATTAGGGGAAGGGTGGGCAAATCGACATACTCGAAGGTAAAATCGATTTATTTTGAAAAATGTAAAAGGTATCATGAATTAAAAAGCTCCATAATACAAACAGAACATTCTTTTTTAATATTTATCAAGTGAAAACAAAAACAGAACTCCATTTTAAAACTGTCAATGTAAAACAAAAAAGAGTTAAAATGTCATCTTGCCCTACTAAGAGGGCAAGAAGGCATATACGTGGATTTATACATAAAGTGATCAATTATCAAAACATAATTCACAAAGTTCTTAGCCTTCATTAATAGTCCTGCACACTCTGCATGAGCCCACATTTGACACTTTTGGCAACTTAACCAACCTTCTTGAGATTTGGATAGGCTATATAAATCATTGCAATAGAGGCATGCGCAATCATCGTCGTCGTCCTCATTAAAGAGCTCTTCACAGTCTGATTTTTTTTTCATAGATTTTAACTGCCGCACTTCGTTCACTTTTTCTTAATTTTCCGGTTCTCTTATCTCGACAATCTTTTTGAGTGTCTTTATCTCCACATTCTAAGGTACCATCAAACACATTTTTCTTTACTGAGTTTTGCCTATTCCCTCTCACCTCTCTCGCTTTCTTAATATTCTGTTGTTCGTGAAGACTCTGGAGGTATGTACTCGTGGTAAGAACATCTTGGTAACTATTGGCATTTCTTCTTCTGAACTTTCTTGCATTTCCCTGAGGAGGTGAAATTTGTAACAAAACGTTTGTGACGTTATTAACTGAAGACTCTACATGTGCATGTGGCTTTGTATTTACTGTTGTAGATGAGTGTGGATCTTCTTCATTCAAATGTTCTGCTGCACTGAAACATGCACCCGGATTAAGGGATTCAGTGTTTGCATTATCGGCCTCAAGTGGTACGTCAGTTACTGTGCTGGGCAAATACATGTGTTCTGGAAATATATCCGGGTTGAAAGTTGAGATCCCTGTTGCTTTGAATCCGCTTAAAGCTATCGTTGACATTGCGGTTTTATTGTAGGCGAAAGAAAAAAGAGACGCGACGGCACGACTTTCCTTCAACCATTGAGTTGCTGCTGCATCGTAGTACTTACTTAGTGGCCCGAAAAAGCACACATCGAAAGGTTGGAGACGATGTGTGCAATGTGAAGGCAAGCAAAATAGTACCACTGAATTGTTTTTTGCAAGTTCCAATGCTTCTAAATTTTTATACCTGACATGCCGTCTAAAATTAGCATGGCTTTGTGTTTGGTGTCGAACATGTTTAATAAAGTGTTCCATTCATTTTAAAAATAGTTCCCCGGTCATGTAACTTGATTCATTGTACAAACATAAAGACCCAAGGGGCGCTCAGTCGTAAAATGTTGGATTGAATTTCTTCCGAGGAAAAATTATAGCTGGTGGAATATAAGATGCCATCAACGCTAGTGATGTCATCCGCTTTTTCTTTTCTTTTAGCGCAAAAATTTTAGAAGTATTTTGTACAGTTGTCAACCCTGACTCGTCCATGTTAAAAATCATACTTTTGTCGATTTCTTCATTATTTATTACGTTACGTAGATTTTTAAAAAAGGTCTTTACTTGTGGTTTGTTAAAACTTTCAGCGCATACCATTGGTGTTGCCTCTGGCTGACGTAAAGATATATTCTGATGCCTTAGTCGAAAAGAGTGTAGCCAACATCTGCCTGCAATGTTTTTCGTGTTATTGAATTGATGTTTTAAGCCAAAATGCAGACATCTGTGGTCGTTAAGCCAAAAAATCTGGCTTCCAGTGCTAGCATATGCTAAATAAAAACAGCAGTTGCAAATTTTAGGTCATGAAGGCCAAGGGGGGATCTATGGGGGGAGGACGGGATAGCAATGGGGATAATTACTACAGGTCCCACCATAATTTAAATGAAAATAAAAAACTAGATAAAAATACTATAGGTAAGAGCTTAAAAATATACTAAAAAAATATATAGGTATCCATGTTTTTACTTCTATATTAATAGTAAGTACCACAGCCACCTTTACTTCCAAGCCATGAAGTAGAAATTTGGCAACAACGCGTGGTAGTCCGACCGTGGGTTTGTTGTTTGTTTTGTTTAACATTTCATATAGGAAGGCTTGTAAAGTTTGTTGAATTTATTGTTTTTTTAACTTTATTCGAATGTTATATTTGTAAATTGTGTTTAAATCAATTAGAAAATATTAATATAAGTGAAATTTCATTAAATTTAGAACTTTTAGAAGATTCTTAACGACAATTTAAAAGGCAAGTATAAATATAACCTACAAACTGAAAATAATAATACTTTTGCTTCTTGTTACAAAATATGTAAACAATAATAATACTTTTGTTTTTTGTTACAGATACTCTGGCATTGTTGTGTACCTGGTTGCAAAACCAATTATGCCAGTACTTCAAAAACGAAACAGGCATAAAGTACGTTTTCGTTTCCCAAAGATCCCCAAAGAAGGTATACTGGGTTATGCTCTATTCATAGAGAAGGCTATACAATTACCAAATCTTCCGTAGTATGTGCCAAACATTTTCATGAAGATGATATTCAGCGGACCGAACAATGAGAAGATAAAGATGGAAATGTACACATTGAAAAGTTAATATTTCCCAAATTAAAAGGCAATGCAGTTCCTAATATAATTCCTGAAGTACCATCATATGTAACTGTTCATCGTACTAAAGAAAGAAGGAATCCCGAAGACAGAAGAAACTTTTTGCATAAGAAGAGGGAACAAGAGATAACATAATTATGACAATTAGACTTTGACAATAATATCCCATTGAAAAACTGGACAAGTAAAATTACAAGTGACTGTGTATTTTCTATGTATTAAACATTAATCAGTTGGGACTCAGTGTGATAATATTTGCATAATACATAGTGTAATAGTTAGCAGTAATTTTAGTGTAATCGTCAATGTAGGTAAGAATAGATTAAGTAGTAATGATTTGAAATGGATTTTACAATATAGTAAATTAACAAGATGGTCACAATTAAAGAACTTACTTTCTCATTTAGATCTGCTTTTTAAATAAGTGATAACAAATTTGAGTATTACATTCAAAAATCTTTTGAGAATATAGGCTATTTTAAATCGATATACAAGTTATAAATGGTATGTTACATTCAACATATTTTTCATGTATACCTCTCTTAACTTGGTCTATATGACAAAAAACCTATTCATATTTAAAATTGCTACTTTCGTATACCTAAGTATGAAAATTCAACAAAAGTTATAAGTAAATAGTAAAATATTTAATTTTCAATTAGATTAATTTAGAACCATATTTATATTGTGTCTGATTTCTTAGGATGAATTTTTTAATCATAATAGTTACACTAAGTTTTTACTGAACAAATTTTATATCTTTTGTATTTTTAATAATCTTTTTAAATGTCGTGTTAATGTATTGTGTTATTTATATGCTTAAGTACTTAATATTTAAAATATCTAGAGATGCTTGACTGCATTTGATTGTAAGATTAACTGTTTGACACTGTATTTTAAGTGCAATAAATTTTACTCTAGTGATTATTTTATTGATAATATAACCTAAATAATAATAAAACTTTATATATATTTATTGGGTAAATATAAGGTTTTATTATTTAATTTCCCTAAAAATATTTCTGTAATGAATTGAAGTTTTCAAAATATCAGTTTCCTAAAATTCAAATTAGTTTATTTTCTGGTAGACCTTACAGCTGATTATCCGACTACCGACGTCATAGAATGCGGTGTTGCCTTTTTTACTTCATGTCTTGGAAGTAAAGGTGGCTGTATAAGTACCCAAAACATTAGTTGAGAATTTTATTTTTAAGGAGTATTAGGTACAAGTTGGGCCAGAGTTTTTTTACACTCTCCCAGAAATATTTCATAGATCCGTCCTTTAGAGGGTAAGATCACACAGCTATATCTCAAATACACGCTAGCGCGTGTGATCATAACATGAGCAGTTGCAATATCCTAAGTTACAGCTTAGGAACACCCTTTTTATCTCCAAAATAAATCATGACAAGAACTGCTACGATGGCATAAATAAATAACGAAACATATGGTACTTACATTGGACCAACACGCAACAATGACACAAAAATGTTAATATTTTTTAAACGTACGGAGCATGCACACCCAAAGACTATCAAACGATTACTGTGAAGGAGTAGATTGTAACAAGCAAACGAGCGTGTGGACTGAACGAATAATGGAGTAGTTTTCGTGGTGGGGGCAATGTGTCGTCTTGCCCGGCTATGTCAACTTGTTCCCCTATACAGGTAAATCGAGGCGTTACTTAAAAAAATTATATATATATATATATATATATATATATATATATATATATATATATGTATATATATACCTAGATCTGTAAAAATTCAACTATGTTATATATCAGCACAGAATAAATAAAAATCAGAATGCCCACTCTCAGATGCCGCCTTTGAAGTTTGTCAGCACGCGATCGCCATATTTTAAACAGAAACATAGACTCGAATTGAAAAATTTGTGACAAGCTACGACAGAACTGTAATTTAAATTTTTAGAGATTAATAATTTAGTACATTTGAAATAATTTAATCTACCCTTCAACTAAAATTACGAATAAAATAGTGCATATTATGTCTATAGTTGCCGTAAATATATTAAAAAGGGTTAATTTTTCTATGCACACCAGATAAAATGTCACTGAACAGCACTGGTTCCGTTTAAAACACATCTGATTCCGTCTGCGCGAACGAGATGGGCGAACATATTTTTTCAAGCAGAGTGGGCATTCTGATTGTTTATTATTCTTTGATATCAGTAAAACTTGTTTGTAAATCTTATGAGGAGAGAGAATTGCAGTATTTTGGTAATATTCATATACCAATTGTAGAAAAATTTAAAATTATTAAAACTCACTTCACCAGTTTGCATACTTAGCCAAATCAGAAGAATGTTTTTGAAAAAACCTTTTAAACACAAACTCAAATATGTAGTTAGGAACGACACCTATTATATCAAGTTACTGATTAGTACGCATTTTTAGCTTTTATGAACTAATTTTTGGAAAATAAGCCGAACTTTACGTATTATTTTTTTGTGGTATAGTTAAAATCACAGTATATTGCTAAAGCATTAAACTGTAGTTAAAATCATCTGTATTTTTAGGTTATGTACATAAATTCACGTAAACAACAATAATAATAATAATAGCGTGCATTCCGATTGAGCAACTTTACGATCGGCGATTCAACTGTTTACAACCTTAGAATTAATAGGTAAAGGCGACTCGGAATTTTGTATTGGCTTCTTTTTCTTTTGTATTCGTTTGATACCAAAAAAATTGTTTATAAGAAAGTTATAGTATACACTGCTGGACAAAAATATTGGTTACTTTTGTGGTCGCGCAGTTTTTCCTTAATTTTTCGGGCATTATTACTATAGTTCTTGTATTATTACCTCAAAATTGATAGGTACAGGAGACTCAGAATATTATATTATCTTCTTTTTCTTTTGTATTCTTTTCATACAAAAAAAATGTTTTCAAGAAAGTTCAAGTATACACTACTGGACAAAAATATTATTACTATAGCTCTTGACTTTTAATACTTAGATTACTGACTGGTCGAGTGACGTCACTGACACTGAGGAGTAGGCAGATTGAGACCTCAGTGTCGAGAGACAGTTCTTGTATTTATTATACAGAACACGATACTGGTACGTCTCGAGTGAAAGGAGTAGGCAGATTGAGACCCCGAACTCGAACCGAACCGAACCGTATCACTCTTGATAATGGCTCGAAAATGGGAGCCGAAACGTCGAACATTACATTCTCAACGCTGTTCTTCCCGAGAACCTAGTGATTTTCATATATATATATATATATATATATATATATATATATATATATATATATATATATATATATCCGTCGAAAACATCATTAGCGAAGTGGGAAACAACTATCATTAAGTTACCATCAGAAACAGCCGAGATTATTCGACAAGATGAATGTCGGAGAAATGTATCTGGAGAAAACAGCTAAAGCCAAAATACAAGCGTCAAACATCAAGAAAGAACAGCAGTTCCAGTTTATTCCATGAGAAAAGTCGTCAAGATGTCCAAAACTTTATAGTTTACCCAAAGTACATAAGGCAGAGTTACCATTACGACCAATAGTCAGCTCTATCGGATCACCGCTACAATCACTGGCAAAATTTCTGGCTGACCAGCTACAACCATATGCAGAGAAAGCGGATGTGCTTTCTCTGCATATGGCTGCAGCTTTGATGTAGTCTCAATATTCACCAATGTGCCAGTAGAAGAATCATTAGAAATTATACGTAGAAAATATCCAATACCACAGGATACACTAAACTTGACGAGGCACTGCTTAAACAACACCTATTTCATCTACAAGGACCAGAGGTACAAACAAATTGAAGGGGCACTGATGGGTTCACCACTGTCACCCGTAATAGCCAACCTTTTTATGGAAGATATGGAATCAAAAGCAATAGAAACAGCAGAGCATAAACCCAAACTGTGGCTTAGGTATGTTGATGACACATTTATTATCTGGACGCATGGAGAAGAGAAACTTAATGAATTTCTACAACACATTAATAATATCCATCCAAAAATACAGTTTACCATGGAACGGGAGAATAACCAACAACTTCCATTCCTAGATGTGTTAGTTATTAAGAAAGAAGACGAAAACATAGGACACACAGTATACCGAAAACCAACCCATACTGACAGGTACTTACACGCAGATTCACACCATCATCCTACACAATTAAATTCGGTAATAAAAACCTTAATAACAAGATCTGAGAAACTGGCAGATAAGGAACATAAGAACGAAGAAATGCAAAAAATCAAAACAGCTCTAAGAAAAAATGGCTTCTCCATGTCTACGATTGAAAGGCACAGAAATCTCAAAACAAAATCAAAGATCCAGAAGAAGAAAAACCAGTCGGAAAAACTATCCTGCACTGTATAAAGGGTACGACAGACACAATCAGCAGAGTGCTACGAAAAAACAAAATAGAAACTATTTTTAACACCGACAAAAAAATCGCAACTATATTACCATCGGCAAAAACAAAAATTGCATTGGAAAATCAAGGTGTATACAGAATCCCGTGTGAGGACTGCGATAAATCGTACATCGGACAGACAAATCGAATGATACAAGTTAGACGCGAAGAACATCGAAACGCCATCGAAAGAAAAGAGAAAACTTCATCTCTAACATAACATGCCATAAACACAGGACACAAGATAGACTTAAATGGAACAACAATGCTAGCCAATATCGAAAATAAGGCCAAACGTGTAATCAAGGAAGCCATAGAGATCGAAAAACATCCAAAAAATTTAAATATCTGAGATGATGCCTAAAGACTCCCAAATACGTGGAAACCAATTCTGCAAAAAAACGTAGAAATTAAAATAACGAAGAAGACCCGCCCATTCTGCGCACAGGACCAATCACAAGAAGCGCTATAGCGACCGAGAAATCAGTTCTCCTGAAACATCAAAATGTAAATCTTGTTCAAAAATGTTCTGTGTGGAACCAGTGTTTCTCTTAAATTTAATTAAATTCTATCATCTAAAAAATTAAAACCTAAGTTTTCAGATTTTTTAGTACATATCATAGTAGATACATCTACTAAATTTGATCTTATGAATAGATTATTGGACAAAATAGTATGAATAAGCAGTGAAAAAGAAATACTTCATATTGATATAAAAGTTAAAAAAGCCTTGTTTTCAATTATGTAGAAAATAATATAAGAAATATCAATAATAATTTAAATTCCTTACTTGACTCTCTTGACTTTCTTTTGGGGCCACTGGAATATCTTCTCCATCCCCATCACCCTCTAGAATAGCTAGCAAATCGTCATCATTTTCTATTTTCGAATCATCCACAGCAGGTACTTGATTTTGTTCATGTTTTGGAGATAGAGGATCGTCTTCATTCTCTGACTGCTCATCCTGTTCTGGTTCTTGCTTAAGCTTTTTCCCTGATGCAGTCTAGATGTATGGAAAAAAGAAGATAATATTTAATTTATAATAGCAAATACTATTTATGTAGTTATGTCTACAGTTAATAAAACAGCCTAACAAAATATCTTAATTATATAATATATAAAAATTGCAAAAACTCTAAAAACTTCAGGGTTTAAAATTTTTAACTTAAGCACGAATTTGGGGTGTCAAGGCTAAATATGGAAAAGACGCCTGGAACCAGAATTAAGACATTCACGCTTAAGGTCTGCTTGTCATTATGCTAAGTTCAGTACTGAATTTAGTACTATGTAAAAATATTGTATCTACAAATTAGATGAGCGCGCCTTAGTACTAAAACTTAGAGCATGTTCTAATTTATTGTACCAAAAATGATGAAATATTAACTAGAAATGAGGTTATTCTCAACTATTCGTAACATAAAATATTATTCATTTGTAAAAGGTTTTTAGATGCTCTTCTACTAGGGTCTTCTACTAATAAGTTTTCATTCAAGATATTTAATATTCCTTTGCCTAACCTTCTTCTCTCGATCCATTTTTTTCTCCAGATACGATTTTTTAAAAGCGTATAATTTTTTTCCTTTATTGCTAGCATCATTATTACAATTAAAGATACTGCACATCATTGTAGCTTCTTTTTCACAGTTATTATTTACCTGTGTCATATGCAGTGATTCACTGTCAGTATTACACTGCTTACAAAACTTTAAATTCGCAATCAATAGCAATATATTCATATTAGAAATTTTTCAACATTTACTAAAACTATCAGATCCATATGGTACTAAATTTCTATGGATTAAGGGACACTCAGATATTGTTGGTAATACTATTGCTGATTCTATAGCCAAAAATCCATTACAGCACCCACATATGTTGATGGAAGAATTTAACACATGTGACCTACTTGCATATATCAAACAACATATTAAATTTAAATGGGACAGACAATGGATTCAGTTTGGTGAAAGCAGGGGCACTAATTTATACAAATTACAACCTACAGTAGATGTAAAACAATTTTACAAAGATGCTACACTAAGCAGAAACACAGTGTCAACTGTCTTAAGATTAAAAGTAGAATCATGGATGTTTTTCGAAACATCTACACAAAATAGGAGTTCTCCCAACAGAACGATGTGAGTGTGGAACTAGTATAGCTGATTTAAATCACACATTCTTCAACTGCCCACTACATCGTAATACAAGCACGTGGCTGATAAAATAATTGATAAAAGAGGGATTAAGTACACCATTAAACGTAAATCTCCTATTAAGTGAAGACAATATAAAAATCTTTAAAATAATTATGATATTTCTTGTAAAAATTAAATTAAAGGTATGAGTGTAAAATTGATCGTATGCTTGAACATTTCCTTTGTATGTTTACCATATATGTTGCCTACCTACCTAACCGTGGTTTATGTCTTGTTTGTTACAATAAAGCCGCTCTGATGAATCCCTGAGCGTGAAAAGTGTCCTCCTTGTACAATCCTGTATGAATGAATACTAATATTTATATGTAATTATGTGGCTAAAGGTTTCAAGCCAAGCCAATTAAAAAAATATATTTACCTGTGTGTTTTGTTTACTCTAATTATAAATCAAAATTCACTGTTTTGTATTAAAACCACACTGTGGTTTTAATACAAAATTGGTAGAGTGCACATGCCAACATGCTAATTAACACAAACACACATTTTTCATACTAAATCGACTGCCGCAACTAATATTTTTAGTACTGAAATCGGCATTGAAATTAGCATAATGGCAAGCTGGCCTATTATAAGAGACTAACATTACTGTATTGCAAAATATGCAACTGAGATAAGAGCGTGAATCACCAGTAATTATGGGATTGATAAATTTATTATGAACTTGGCAATTCAAGGAAAGAATGTAAGGTAACATATGTATAATCTAATTTCTGGGTTTTAATCTAATGTAATAGTAATTTTAAAGGCATGATTATAGTTTTAAAGTCTCTATTTTGTGTAATTTTCACTTACGCCCATTTTTCTGGATATTAATTCTACAATCCGGATTATTTGATAATCCAGTATGCTTCAAGTCTAGAACGTGCTAGATTAAAGGAAGTTTACTGTATTACAGTTAAAAGTTAAATAACCACCTCAGGATCATTTCAACCAGTAAGTAGTCCTGTCATGAATAACGCCCTAAATTTTTGAGTGTTGATACAATGACTGAAATAGTTATCTGTATCAAAACTATAAAGTGTCATGACAGAATGAGCAGTGTTGCGCGTTACACGGAACTCTGCAGTTGATACGATTCTCAATACAGCTATGGCGCTTACTTGCCAAATGATGAAATTTCCTTTAAAAATAATCTATCAAAATAAAATCAATACAAATGATTTAAAATTTTAATTTCTTGCGTGAATTGTTTTGAATATTAAAACGTTGGACGACATGGGGGTCACCGATGCCCTCCGCAACATAGCATTATACAGAATTGTTTTATGTGCCGTCGGTCACAAGACACTGTAAAAATCTTTTGGATTGAACAAATCTACCTACATAAGTAAAAAATATATAGAATGAGTTTTGAATTTTTATGTAATGTTATTGAAAATGTTGTCTGTTATAAATATTTATGGAAAGTAATGACATAACTAAAACAAACTAACTCTAACTAACTAGTAATTAACAATAAAACATTAACATTAAAAAAAAACATTTTCTGAAAAATATAGAAAATTATCAAAATGCGATTATACATATCTATGCACCTTATTGAAACATGGCAAACACAAATGAGGATTAACTTCACACTGAATGCAAAAACTGATCACTTTTTAGTCTTATTTTTGGCTAGTTTCCTGCCCACTTGTAGTACATTAAATTTATAACATTGAACACAATGACGTCTTGAATCTCGAACTTTCCCTGGTTTCGTTCCCAATTCATTCAAGGTTCATCTTCTTTTCTGGAATTGGTGAGATACTCAACTAGACCCTTTCTAAAATCTACAATTGCCATACAGTTTTTGGTTGTTTCACTATACATAATAGAGGCATTTACAACAGCAGAATTTAATAATTCAATCACCAGTTTCTTGTACCATTTGACAGTTTTTCTTAGTGGGGATGAATATGAAGTCATTTGGTCGCTCATATCAACAGCAGATTTAGATTTGTTATAATCTAGAACCATCTTTGATTTTTTTATTAACTTGACTCTTTTCTAATCATAGAAAATTTATTTGAATATTTGGTGGATAACATGAGCACATCTCGTTTATCCTTCCATTTCATGACGGTGACTCCATCTTCGTTTTCCTGTGCAATAATTCTTCGGGGCGAAGTTTAGTATCCACAAATTTTAGGCAACCCTCTCCTATTCTTTCTAACTATTCCAACCAGATGGGAATCATTTTTTAATAGTTTGTATGCTAACTCTAAAACAGTTGACCTTTGTATTGTATGACCTTTATTAAGTAATCCACATTGGTTGGCGTACTATTTACTGCATCATTATTTTTTCCACAATATAATTGTAACTTGTATTTATAGTTTAAAACTGTATTTGAGTCTTTTCTGTTTAAAATAATGGGAAAAACCCCGTAATTGGCTGTATACCATCGTTTAAAAAAACACAGAAGTTAAAACACTTCGCAATTGTGTATGCAATTATACCAAAATACACAATTGTGAAGTGTTTTAACTTCTGTGTTTTTTTTTTCTTTTCTGTTTATTATACTGACGTCCAATAAAACGGCCTCTGAAGGGAACCATACTTTCATCTACACATACATCTTTTTTAGGAGAGTAATATTGCTTGAACTTACAATTTAATTCATCTATAAGCCCCCTAATTTTGCCAACACGATCTGCAGTATCTGTAGTTTTGTTGTCAGAGAAGTTATGAAATTGTAGAATTAACTCGAATCTATTCCTACTCATAGTGGTTTCAGGAAATCGTTGTCCCATAATTTTGTCTTTACTCCAATAATAATTAATTTTTGGCAGCTTTACCAGTCCCATATATAGCAGAAGGCCACAAAAACGTTTAGTTTCATATTCGTCAGCTTGGCGTTGAAGAGTGTGAACGAGCTTGTGGTTTATTATCTTTTTCTAGTATAGTCTGTGTCGAAAATAAATTTGTCTCATCTGCTATCTTTTCGAAAAAATTTTCAGTAACCAAAAGCATATAAAAATCTTCAGGAGGGGCTTGCATCAATACGTTGGAATATGGTGGATTTAATCCAATTAATTTTGTAAAGGGTATTACCCAATTGGCTCAAACCATTTGCGTGATGAACTTGCTTAGTTTATATCATTAATTGCACAAACATTATTTAAAGAATCAATCGCATGAAGTCACATGCAAAAATTCATTTTCAAGGTCTTCTTCGTGTGAGACATTTATTTTACGTTTACCATTGCTAGAAAGCTCTTGTTCTTTATTATTATAAACATTTGTTGCTTGTAAATCAAATCGTTCAATATCTGCTTCACTTATAAAAAAATCGTCTGCCATACCAAAAATCTCTGCAAAACTTTGATCTTCATTGTTCACCTCCATAGCTCAGAATTTTATCAATAATAGAAACACTGAATAATACGGAACAAAGAAACAAGAAAACACTGTTACTGCATCCATTTTAAGACAAGAACTGACCTGTTGTTTCTTGTTAGAACCGCATGGACACTATAAGCACAAAGGGGAGGGAACTACTAAGAGTGGATGACCGGCATTAAAACAACAGTTATTGGTAACAACGGTTAATTTCTAGTCAATGGCGAAGCGGAAGGCACCGGTGATCTCCATATGTTTTTTTGTAATTATGACGGAAAAATACGCTCAAAAATAAAAATAAATATTATATTTATTATAAACACATAATATCAGATATATATACACAAATTTTTTTATCGATTTACCCATGGCGTTTAACGTGTTAAAAAAATCAATAGTATTAATCAGTTGGGTAAAAATATCAAATATAATCCTAAAACTGTATTATAAAAATAAAAATGTCAAATATTGAAAACAGAAAAATGTGAGAGGCAATGTGAGAAAACAGAAACACTGTTTCTCATAGTGGGAGTTTCTTACACTTAGTCTAAGATTCCACTGAAAAATTATCATGTTCATAACGTAGTTAATCACATTTCTACATGCATTTAAGAATAGGAGAATACACTGAGGTTGCCAGTCAAAAAGTGGCCCCAAATAGTTTTAATTTAAATTAATGGTAATTAATTTTTGAACAAAAATTTCGTTAATCTCTTAATCTCCAATAGCGCTACAGCCCAAATCGAGCCTTGGCCTCCTTCAAACTATGTCTTAAACACGAACTTTGCTGGTCATGCGCAGATTTTCTCCAGGTTCTCACGTCTAGCAAATTTTGTGTATCCGCTGCCACTTTCCCACCTTTTCCGTGGCCAATATTGGTCTTGCACCCTGCATTATACTATTGAGGGCTCTTTTTGGCAATCTTTCTTCAGTCTCCATTCTCACTACATGACCAACCCATTGAAGTCTCTGAAGTTTAACGAATTCTGATATCAGTGCCTCTTTGAACGGTTGTTAGGGTTGGTGGTTGTACCTGGATAGCCATAATGCTTTTTCATTAATAGGACCAAATATCTTCCTTACGACTTTTCTTTCGAAAAACTTGCAGCTTTCTTTTTGTGTCTTCTGTCATCACCCATGTCTCGCGTCCATGACATAATATTGGTCTGATAATAGTGTTGTAGACACTGATTTTTGATCTCTAGTGTGTGTTTTGGAGCGGAACACATGGGTGAGTGAAAAACAAGCTTTGTTTCCCTTTACTATTCTTCTTTTAATTTCTGGTTCTTCTGTTCCATCTGTGCTTAATGCAACTCCCAAATATGTGAAACTTTCTACACTTTCAACATCATCCTCTAATTCAACTGTGCGTCTGTTTCCCCTAGCTCTTGCTTGTATTAACTTTTAGGTGCTTGCTTCTATTCAGGTCTCTTTTGCCTTCATTTTTAATTGTGAATATATTGCTGCTGCCTCTTCTGTTCTGCGAGACATAATGTTGATGTCTCCTTGCTTTACCTTTGACTCTTGAAAAGTTCTCAGTAAGCTCATTTTGCACTCTGGCAACTGCTGTTAATGAGTCCATTGTTGCTTTTACTAGTTGGATATATTTTTGGGGGTTTTAAAGCTACACAATATTTGATATAACTTGTGTCTATTAATTGAGTCGTAGGGTAATTGGGATGGTTTCCTACTACTTGACGGCCGCACAACATATGGGCCTTAAAATAAACGAGGAAAACACCAAAATGTTGGCGTCGATACCAAATAACAGAAGTAGAGCTTGAAACTCAATACAAAACTTTAGCATCGACCACTACAATTTTATGGTATTAAATATCTAGGTTCTTTCAAAACAAGCAATAATGACACATCTGAAGAAGTAAAACAAAGGGTACTGATTAGGAACAAATGTTATTTTAGATTAAATAAGCAGCTAAAAACAGAAATTTAAGCCAAAAAACCAAACTAACAATATATGAGAACACTCATCCTACCAGTGCTGACATATGAGTCAGAAACATGGACCATCTCCAAAACAGACACAGAAAAAAATCTAGAAGAATACCAGGGACGATTTCACAAGGGAAGATCAACAACTGATCAAATTTTTATATTAAATATTAAATGATCAATTGCTATTAATACAATATTTAACCACAAGTATGTTTCATTAGAAACGCTATAAGAATTTCAAGTACCAGACAAAATAGTAGGTTTGGTAAAAATGACAATCAGAAAAACCATTTGTGCTGTGAAATGCAATGATACAGTCTCAGAAGAATTCGAAGTGAAAAAAGGTGTTCGCCAAGGAGACCAGTTGACTACCTGGGTATTCCATGTAGTTCTAGAAAAAATTATAAGGGTTAGTGAAGAATGTCAGGTAATGAACAAGTCAAGAATATTGATTGGAGAGTATCTGAGGATAAAAAAAGTGAGGAAAACCAATAAAGAAATAGAGATATGTAGTGATGGACGATGTCAGAAAGATGAGAATCAGAGATTGGAAGCTGACAGCTAAGAATAGAAAACAATGGAAATTATCCAGCCAGAAATGGGCCTAAAAGACATGTTAATATACATGTATACAAGAAATTTATAAGGGGACATAGAAAAGTAGGTCTAGCAATGTAAGTAATATATACTGGATACATAAAAGTGTAAAATGTCTCTATGTACACAAAATATAATAATTTGCAAATAGTTTGTATTATTCTAAAGGTAGATATCCAGAAATCTTAAATATACTATATACCTAGAGACTTTTATTTTATAATAATCAATTACAGAAAAGAATCTAGAAAAGTTGTTTCTAACAAAGCATAACATTTTCACCTACATTCCTTCACCATTAACTTTTTGACAACACAAACAAAAAGAACTACTGCAAAAACCTACCTTTTCCGGTGCTATTTTATTTGCCAATCTTTGAGTCAAACTTCTAGCAAACTTATTTCTGGTCTTTATTGAATTAGCCTCTTTTTGTCTGGATCTTTCAAGAATCTCTTCTTCCAGCTCAGCCTTGGATACTATCTGACTAGTCAAGTTGAGATACGGAACCTTTAAAGAAAAATCCACCAGATTTTTATGAGGAAATGATGATCTCATGAACATGTATATCATACAGATGATTGTGTCAATAGGGAGTAACAGAACATGAACTAAATGTGTAGAATACAAAAAAATTGATATATTGATGAATTTCAAAAATAAAAATGTAAGATACAACAAAGAACCTTAGCTTCAGATGGAAGAAATGAGAAACTTAATATATTCATTAAAAAAAAGTAATGTTCACCAACCTTAACACCAAGCCTAGGTTTTGGTAAAGACCTTCCATTTATGACAACCTCAACTGGTTTACTTATATCATGCCCTATCAAATGCATAGGTAAGTCATGTATAGGTTTACGAAACTTCCTTTGTTTAATAGGTTTATCTGAATTTGTAGTTGTCCCATATTCTGTCTGGCTTGCTGAAATTCCTTCTGAAGAAATAGATGGCACAGAAGTAGATTCTTCTGTAAATATATACTGATCCTAGGTAGAAAAAAAAAATAGTTAAACATATAAATAAATTTGGAAAAACACAGATATGTTTTAATTGTTGGTTGCTAAACATAGATATGTAACTATGAAAGTGTAAGCTAAATCATGCTATTGAAATAAACTACATTTGAAGGAACATATACTACACAAAATTAAATACACAAAGAAAATACAAAATATAAAAAATTACTGGAAAAAAAGGCAGTAAGGATAATGGAGGCACTTAAAAAGATGGAAATTATAAGCTGAAGTAAATGTAGCAAGCAACAGCAAAAAATAAAACAAATAGGGAAGAAAATTGTTGGTATCATTAGAGAAAAGAAAGAAACACAGACAAGTAATACATATTATATTAGATAATATTATGTTTATATCAAGCCACAATTATTGTTTATAATGAAACTCACATTTTTAACTAACTAATTTTTGTCATTTCGATTTTACTCCAGAAATCTTTTTTAAAAAAGATTATTATATTAATTAGTATTTTGTGTTATATGTTTATGTAAAGACTGTAGTAACGTAAATTGAGCTATAGTAGATTTGTGTTTTGTGTGTAAGATTGTAAGTGATGTTTTCAACCTCCAATAATTACTCCGCTATTGTTGATATATTCTTGTTATTGACTTCTTCTTTTAGTATTTTTAACTACGCCTGCTACATTCTGCTGATGGGTTTGCTACAAATTTTTCTCATTGAATAGGATATGGGTAGCTTCTTTAACTTTTCTCTTTTTAATGTCTGTTTCTTTCATGATTATTGATACATCTCCTATGGTCTGGAAAACCATAACCAGTGTTCATTTGTCAGTGACTCAAAGTATTGAACATCTGTTTGTCAAGATTGAGATTGACAACATCAGCAAGTTTATCTTTGCAACTGCCTACTTTCCACCACATAGTATCATTGAGAAGTATGTCGAATTTGCATAAAATGTAGATAATCTAGCTGAAAAGTATCCAAAACATAAGTTATGTATCCTAGGAGATTTTAATCTTCCCAATTGTCAGTGGTCCATTGATGGATTGTCTTCTGTGGCTACTCCATTACCAGGAACCTCACCAAATGAATTCCTCTCATTTTTATGTTTCTTTCATAATCTGTATCAAGTCAAATGAAAACTGTTAAAAATGAAATTAACTCATTAGATCTAGTCATGGTCCAAAATGAAGAGGTTGAGGTATCTAGAGCTGAGAGTGCCCTACTCTCAGAGGTTAGGAATCATCCTCTACTCTAATTTCGGTGTAAATGTGAATCTCAATATTTTAATGAGCCAGGATTGATTGGAAATGGCTTTTATAGAGAGTTTCAGTCAATGAGTGTATGGGAAGTAACTAACTTTCTTTCACAATTTAACTGGGATGATTTGTTTAAAGACAAAAGTCTTGATGATATGAACAAAATGTTTTATCATGTTTGAGCAAAACCTTGATGCTCACCTTGCAATTGATATTTTTGTTCCCCTGAAAAAGTATTCAGCAAAAAAGTTTCCTGTCTGGTTTTCTCCAAAGCTTAAAAAAACAATAATCAAAAAAAAGAAAATGCATAAAAAATATCTAAAATCTCAATTACTTGCTGACTATAATGAGTTTTCTTTATTACGAGCTAACTACAAAAAACTGAAAGAACAATGCTATCTTGATTATGTTGCTCTAACTGAATCCTCTCTGAAAGATGTTGAAAATTTCTGAAAATTTGTTAACAGTAAAAAATCAGGAATAATATTTCTTCTATGATGCACTATAATAATATTTCTGACTCTTCTGGCATGGAGATTGTCAATTTATTTGCTGAATACTTTTCCAAAACTTATAGTGTTAAAGATTTTGATTTGCAGGATGAAACCTTTGTAACAGGAGACATTGTCCTATCACATTTAGCATTTATATTTCGTCTATAAAAAAAAACTTTTTTAGGGATACCCAGACTGAAAACGCAGATGTGACAGAAAGTGTGGATAAGTTCCTTGAGGTATACTTGAACACCTATGGAAGAACTTATATGTGCTCAGAAATCTAGCATAAGGTGTTTCACACAAAGTTTTACAAACACCTTATTATGCCATTTTTCACTCTCATCTGACATATAATGGATGCCTAGAGTCTTTGGTTTGCAACCTAAGGCTAAAAGAGTCTTTGCAGACCTTGGGTTTAGAGATGATTGCAGATTGGCATATGGAATTCTTATTGTGCCCTCCTTGTATATATATATGAGAACCTTATGTTTGCTAAGAGAAGCAGAGGGCACTTTGGGACCCATGAAGTGGTGAACTATCATAATGCTAGACATGTAGAAGTGAACATTATAGTACAAAACTATAACATTTCAGAATAATAGATGGAATACCATCAGGACTTGGACCCTTATTTAGTTAATATTTGACCTCTCTTGATGATGGTCTAACTGGACCAAAAACATTTTGAAGATTTATAATTCTTTTAGATAAATTTTAAAGAATTTTTATCAATAAAATATACCCTTACACACTAGAAGTCATTTAATAAAAAATAAATTGGTTATAAATGTTTTTCCAGAATGAATATAATAAATAACCTTTTTTGAAGATAATTTCTTGGAAATGGAACATAAAATGTTAGTTAATTAAAAATGTGATTTTCATTATAATGAATAATTGTGGCCTAATCCCATATAAAAATAATATTTAAAGTTAGACATGCCACAAGAAAGTAGTTTGAGAACTTTGATATTATATTAGACTGCATAGTATCACTAAAAATATGTTATGTGTGGAATCATAATTATAGTAATATGCAAACCTACTTGGACTTGTTGATTGTTCTCCACTTCATAATTCTGTAACTCAATCAGATCACCCTCTATAGGAAGGTCTATCTCAGGGGCTTCTGGTACAATATCACCTATAGATTCTTCTACAGTTTCTAGATTCACACTATTATCTGATACTTGTAGAGATATATCTACTATCCCCTCCTCACTCTCGACAGATTCTTCCAGAACTTTATTTTCTACACTAACCTTTGCAATATTTTCACCAAGGTCTTCAGTAGGTACTAAACTATCATCAGGAGTATCTGTTAAAGTAACACTTTCAGTTATGTTAGTTACAGAACTCTGATTTAGAATATCTTCAGAAACTGGTGTAGAATCATTTGGAGATTGTTCTGATATTTCTTCACTCTTAACTGAATCTTCAACTTTTGAACTAGCTGATTCCTCCTCATCATTATCAATATTTTGTTGTACTATCGTTTCTGCTTCAACTACATCTTTGTCCTCCACAACTACATTCTCTATGTTTTCATTATTCTTTGTTTCAATATTGTTTACATTACCATTATTGGTTTCATTATCAATTGTTTCTTCTTTATTCTCAATTATTTCTGTAATCATTTCATTGGTCACTTCACTATTGGATATCTCATCAGATTTCTTTGCATTCACCAGAGCAGACTCTTGTACCAAAGGCTGCTCTGGAATAGATGATTCTTGCAACTGGGTTTCTTGGGAGGTGTAGTATGTCTCATGGGGAAGATTCTGATCTTGCTGATCAAATTCCATCTGCTGGATAGAATCATTTGGGTTGTAGACTGTAGAGTCATGTGAAGCAGTGTAGGGATCACCTAAAAAAAATATTTTCATAAAACTTGTCACTATTTTGTAGTATGTAGATGTTACATACATAGTCTAAAAAAATATATAAAAGTAAGACTACTGCTAATTTAAACAAAAGAGTAATTTGGAAATCTTCATACTTTTTTGTATTAAAATAATCCTGCCCCCAATGTTATTAATTTAGTATGCTTCTAAAGTTTGAAAAAATAGTAGGTAAATACTGAGGAATTAATGTAGCACTGTGATAAGATACAAAATTAGTCAAGCAATAGTTACCTTCTACATGAAATCCTTGTGATACTATTTGGGATCCAACAGGAAAATTCTCCTGACCGTAAGCTACGGTATTATCTTCATAAGATATCTGTTTATTTACATCAGAAACATTTCCCGCATTTTCATATCCTTGGGTAATACTAGACTCCATTTTTCTGGGATAGCCGCTGAAAACATACAAATAAGCTTTAGTTAAAACCTTGCACTATCATTTTCTAGCATTAAAAAATGGTAATTATCTAATAAAAACGTGCTTTGGGGATAATCATGTCAGTGTAAACACTTTTATTGCCTACCTAAACTTTCACAATTTTATGATCATACGACGGGAATACATCAATACTGTCTTTCTATTGTTACCAACACAATGTAGACCATATAAAGCGCAATATTTAATTAAGAATATCAACTATTTCGCCAATATATACCAAACAATTATTTTCGTAAAAAAGTATGAACGGCCATATTAGACCACCGCCATTATGATTTACTCGCAGGCAGCACACACTACGTCATCATGAACTTTTAGGATGTTCCAAATATTTGTAAACTAGTTTTGACTTTTGAAACTGTTTTCATGTGGTATATCTACACATAAAGTTAGTCTATTACAGATTATAAATTAGATTGACTATCAAAATAATAAGGATGAAATAAAATTTTAATTATTTGTTCGTTATATAATATTAAACTATGTATAAGTGGAAATTCGTTATAAACACAAATGAACCGATTATTTAAATTATTTTGTTCAGAAAACTTAAATCTTAGAAGTTGGCTAAATTTTTAAAAAAACATTTAACTTAGAAATAAGAGTTTTGATTGGTGCTTAATTAAATGACAGATTGTACCTATATTTAAATTAGTTTATTTGAAACTGGCTTTAGTTTAAAGAAGCATAAACTGGGTGGGAGTAGCAGGGTTGCCGGTGCAATATAATTTGTGTAACTCTGGGATAAATTTATGTAATTAGTGTCGGTTAATGTAAAACTGAAACGAAGTATTATTAATTTTGTCATTGAAGCTATTTAAAGAGGGAGATTTTTTAAAAACTGGTATGTTTAATTGTACATTTGATTGTTTTGAATACAAAATAACATTGTCTAGTTTTCAGATTTTTTTTACCTAGATATTTGGCAACTACGCTCTAAAGAATTGACAAAAATGGTGATGGTTTGTTGTAGTTGTCTGGTGTTATTAAAATGAATGGTTTAAATTAAGTGATTAAAATGGTTGATAGAAACGAAAAATTTCTTAGTGAGCTATTAAAATATCCTGGAAACAATGTCTGCGTCGATTGTGGTGCTAGAAGTGAGTAACCTCAGTTTATTTATCGGTTTGTTTGAGGCATGACATCCATGCCACTTATTCCCAAGTAAACAAATACATACTATCAAACATACCTAAGAGTGATAACAAGTCTATTATTTTAAGAAAACTGTTCATTATAATTATCTGTAACCGCTATCGTTTAGGGTAGATAATTTTTAATATAATAGGCTCTATATTTGTAAATATTACTAGAAGCATGTTATTTGTTTTTCCAGGAAATAACACTACTTCCGAATTGGAAAAGTAACGGATTTTTATAATACTCTCATGTTATATATAATCAATTTTGCTAGAAAAATTTAATGCTTATCTGTTTTTTATCTTTACTGTAATATTGAACAAACAATAAAATATATTTTGAGTTTCAATAATTAGGTCCTAACATTGAAACAGGATGCATTAAATTAGTTATTAAATTAAGAATGAATTTTTCTACTAAAAATACTAATTGTTTTGATTTCACAAAAACAATTTTATGGTGTTGTTTTGTTGTTTAATAATACTAATGTTTTACCCATATGTTGATTTTGTTGTTGAAACTTTGTTTATTTTTTACCTATTCATTTGACCCACAGCTCTTACAACTAAAAACATTAAAAATTATTTACATGGAAGTCAAACTTTTGTTTACAAATTGATAAAACAAATGAGTAGTGAAGTCATTAATAAAGTACTGTGGATGCAACAGAGTAACTACCAGACCAAAACAAAAAACGTGGTTTGCACCTCATAAGGGTTTGCATGATCAATTGTGTCAGATGAATGGATTAAGAAAACAACTCAATAACCCAGAGTATTCGACTGATATAAGAAATTTAAACAAGAATATCAAACAATTGTTAAAAAACATAAAAATGAACAATATGATAATCAATTTAGAAATGGCAATAATGTAATGAAGAAAAGTTGGAAAATAATTAATAAAAATAGAGATAAAAACTGTCAATCAAATCAAAATTTAATATCTTCTAGTAACAACGGTGACTTACAAAATTATCATAAAACTGATCAAAGCAACAATAATTTTATTAATGCTGAAAAAGTAATGAACTATCAGCTGTTAACTGTACCATACAAATTGACCAATTTAATTCAAGTTTCTTTTATCACCAACCACTGAAAAAGAAGTTATATCTATTGTATTAAAAACTGCTTCTAAAACAGCTGCAGGGGTAGACCAAATTGATGGAAAAGCTTTGAAACATGTTGCCACTTATATAGCTGTAGCAACAAGCTAATTAATAATAATTAATCTTTCGTATTCAAGTATTAAAAATAAAACAATCTCATATTAAAATTTACATTTTCACATTTGCTTATACACATAAGAAATAGACATGTGTTCCTTAATATATTTATTTGGGTCATTCTACGAAAGAGTGGTAATTTGAGATATCTATATACATATTTTAAATTTGTGTTAAAATTAATTCAATTTGCTAATAAAATCTAGATTACATCTAGAGATTTCATAATCCAAAGTCAGCAAATCAGTAGCTCTACCAGATGGCCTGCAATGACCATTTTCTTTGTGCGTGGTGGCAGGGGAGAGAAAGAAAGCACAGGGGAGAGAATAATTTCTCATAGAAATTGTTTTTATATGTAAATCTCTCCAAATGAACTTATTATACTTGGTGAAATATGTAGTGTTATCATAATATTTTCATGTAAGAAAGTTGATAGCTCAACTTGATAGCTTATAATGACAAAAAATTCACTTTTATCTTATGAAACAGGGGAGAGAAAGAAAATACACACGACGGGCGTATGTTTATTTATTATGATGACAAACAAATTAAACAAATTTTTATTTCATACTTATAAGTTAGTACAAACAAAACTTAACCAATGAACAAATAAACACAAACAAAACAAAACAGAAAAAAACAAGAAACAACTTGCAAAAATACAACAAAAATGGATTCCGTGTTTCAAATTAAAAAGAAACATTTTTTTACTTTCATAATACTTTTATGTGAATAAACAAAAAACAATAAGTACAAATAAATTGTATGCAACACCTGAGCATATATTTATTTTTCATTCACATTGATTGATTCGGGGAACACATAGGTTATTACCCTCTTCTTCAGAAGAATAGTAGGAGCAGGTAAAATTTGAATTACGTCTTTGTGACAAACAGTGAAAATGTCATTATTTCTAATGACAAAATCAGTCTTCTCGGGGTTCGAAACGCGCAATCCCTGAACTTTCAGTTCTTGACCTTCTTCTTCTTCTTCTTCTTTAGATTGTACTTCCAAAATAGAACAAACATAACGATATTCTTGATTTTTGAACTTCATCTTTATCAAAACGGTATCTCCTGGTTTTACATTTTCCAAATGTGTTTCCTGTACGTTGTTTTGCTCAATGTATGGACTAGGAGACAATTCAGGCAGCAGTGGTTCACAAGAAATAAGTTCAGCTTCCTCATTAAAATAATCTTGAAGTTGTGTTCTTCTAGAAGGATATTTAATTTTTCCTAATTCATAGTGGGGGCACTCGCTGTCTTTGTGTTCAGGGTTTAAATCCACGTCTCTGCAACACTGAAAACAACTCATTGATTTCATAGAAAGAGTTATGGGGTCACCCATGATATGCTTTTGAGTAACCTGATGCACCTTCATTGTACCAAGAAAAGGAATAGTTTTTGATCTACAAGCTTCTATTTTAGTTGCCATCGTTGTCATACTATCTGTTTCTATAACATGTATTGTTATATTTCTAAGTCTCTCCCTCAGTTTGCTTACTAGAATGTCAAAAGTACTCAGATCATTACCTTCACCCACTAACCGATCTGCGGTTCTTTTCACTGTGCCTCCTATACCGTCACAGGTCCCCTTTCCATGTCCGGTTTCATAATAATTCCAAGTGGAATATACAAGTGAAGGAAAATACGAGTCCAACATATTTCCAAAGATGTAAAACATTAACTGATTTCTATACTGACTTGATGGGCCGTCAGATAGAAAATGTATCATTTTTAAGTTTGGCTTCTGTTCTCTTATCCATGAAAACACTGGTTCTAAATGAGCTATTATTCCTGAGGGTCCATGGTTCAGGTTTTTGGAAAATGTACAGAACGATTTTATTTTCAAAGCATCATGTATGCTATTTTTGAATGAAACTGAGAGAGTGTGCAGAGAAACTTGCTCGCGGCTCCCGCCAAAGTGGAAGCTTTGTACTTCTGTTGCATATTTCAAAGAATAATTCTCACTGAAATCCATATGAACCAAGATTTCATCTGGATGCAAATGTGCCTTCAAGTACTTTAACGCAGCATACTGATTTCTGATGATACCTTGATGAACCATGAATTTGTTCATCATGTTTTCTAACTGTTCAACAAGTTTGTAAGCACTTATTTTCTTCCTTAATTTCATTGTGTGCTTAGTTTTCTTTTGTTGTCCATTTCTGTCCTTGTATGTTACTTCTTGTGTTGTCCATGTTTCATAATACACATCCATTGAGCCGTTGAATGTATTGTAATGAGGAACATTGTTTTTGCATTCATTGCACTTTCGCAGTAAACACTCTGTTCTTGCATCCGGACATGATAGCTCTGTTGAAAATTCCTTAGCACATTTGCTATTAATGATCTTGTTCCGATAGAGGGTTGCTACTACAAAATCTGTATTTACACAGATCGTACATTGGCATGTATCTCTAAGTTCTGGACTTTGGTAGGTCACCAGAAGGGCCGCAGCCGACAAAATAATGCATAACTGATTTTGTATAAATTTTGAGCATTGAACTTTTTATGTAGGTTTGTTAATGTATCATTAAGATACCTTTTCTGCCTTTTCTCTTTTTTTACAGTTTTTGTATCTCTTTTCCCGGGTGCCAATCGACTGTTTTCATCTTCTTCAAGGAAACAGCGAACTTTGTGTTTGACTTTATAGCTTAGAGCTCTTTGTTTATTTCTTTTTAGACGATTATTTACCCTTGTATATCTTGTCGAGTGACTGGGAAGTAAAGAAGAGATATCCTTGATAGCATTACATTTTTTCAGGATGGTTCTATCACCAAGAATAGAGGATACATACATGAATTTCTTCTGCCGTTCTTGAATGTGTTCGAAATTATGTTTCAACTGAGCCTGCAAAGCTTCGCCAAATAATAGTTTTCTACCAATCACTTTTTTATTTTGACTAGTCATTAGTTTTTTCACCGTTTTCCTTGGAGTGTCTTCGTGGCCATTTTTTTCCCCAGCTCTTTCGGCTCTCTTCCGATACATATCCCTTTGTCGTTTTAGGATTGCATTTTCTTTCAGTAGTTTTTTGTTCCTTTGAATTATTTTACTTCTGTCGCGTCTGATTCTCTTCTTTGCTGATTTTATTTGAACAGATTCTTCATTGATTTCTTGGTTTTCTTCTTCACCAGAATCAGGAGGAGTTACAATATTGGTTTCTGTTTGAGCATTCTTACGTTTTTTTGTGTTCTGTTTTCTTTCTCTCCACACCCGTTTTGCTTGTCTATGTTCTCTAGGGTTCATATCTGCCACCAATTTGACCAGTTTTTTCTTCTTTTTGTTTTCATATTTTATCTTCTCCTTTTCTTGTTGAATTCGACTTTGCACTGGATCTGACTTTATTCGTCTGTAGCGTTCTCGTTCTCTAGCCCTTTTTCTCTCCAGCAACTCTTCTTTAGTGAGTTTTTTCACACGTGCCATTAGGACAATATAATGATTTATTTAATTAAGCAAATATTTATGAAGTTTTCTTCCGGATATACTCCAACAGGATTATTGAGCCTGCAAAAAAAATAAAAGATAATACTTACTTGATATATATATGAAGCGTAGATAGGTATTAATAACATTATTTTAGAAAATGTTCTTTCCCCGGTCATTGTATTTCTATCCCCTGTCCCTTAAAACACAACAACCCACCTAATGCGACTCAGAGTTTTAAAGAGTCGTCGGCGTTAATACAGAGAAGATTCGACTAAGTAGTTAAATGAAATATCATGCACAGACA